CTTTTGGATTGTACTCTTAGAGAGATAGATGTAATTTTCTACCATATAGATGATTTTTAATCTGCATATTCCAAAACGCATATCTGTTCTATCAAACTTGTTGATCCAGGTGCAGATCCTCCTTCTCTCTCAACCATGTTTCTTCCTCAAACCTTAATATCTAGTTGTTGGGGGGGGGGGGGGGGGGGGGGGGAATTTAATTGAATACTAGCAAATCCTAAATCCCTAAAAGCGAAAAATAGTGCGAAACAAAGGACACAAAATGACACACACACAAACACAAGATTTATAGTGGTTCACTCTCCATATGAGAGCCCGTCCATTTTGTTGCTATGAAATTTCACTATAAAGAAGAAGAAAATTACAAGAATCTCTGACAAGCCTACAAATGGCTCACTCACTAAAACCCTATTTGGTTGCTCTCACTCTCTAATTGGGCTTTGCCTTTTTTTAAATTGTGTTATCAAACTCTATGAATTAAACCTTTTTATAGCTAATCATGGGACACTATTCCTAATAGACTCAAATCTCATATCCTAATAGGGATTTTTTTTAATTCCTAATACAATTATAATCTTATTCACAATTGTATTTCTAAAGAAAACAATTCTACTTAAAAACAAATAGGAAAACCAATGTCCTAATCGAACTCTAATTTGGATTGAATTTGTCTCCACACATCTAAACAAGCAGCACATCATTTGTGGGAATGGGAGATGTAGTAACTAAAGAATCATTTGAATGGGTACTCACAAATCCTAAAAATGTTTAAGGCCTCCTTAATAATTTGCGAGACTCATGGTGACATTGCAGGTCACAAGGTACTGCATTACCTAATTTGATTCATACTCTTCATTCGAGCCCAATCAGATTAGGCACTCTTTCTTCAATTTGATATATTTTTTTTGTGTAGGTTGAGCAAAAGAAAGAGCATGTTGCCTTAACAGTTGAATGATACAAAGCAGAGCATGGTGTTTCGGAGGAAGAGTTTGCTAAATTGTTTCACGAAACAAATTGTGAATGCTTGGAAGCATATGACACTACAAGAAAAATGCCTTTCGCGCTCTAGCAAAATTAGACACAAAAAGTAAAATTTAGACGCTAAATCTATTTCGCGTCTAAATTTTGTAGTCGCCATGTAGTTGCGAAATCGCTGTCATAGAAAGTATGGCGTCTAAATTTTGGTAGACGTGGAAAGTTTTTTTTTAGCGACTAGCAAATTAGGTCGCTATTACTGGTTAAATAGTCTCTCCGCTTAGACGTATGTTCAAGGGTAATTTGGTAAATGGTATCGCGATACTAAATTAGTTGCAAAATGTACCTTTTAGTGTCTAATAATTTATCGCGAATCGTACAAAAATTAGACGCTAAAGGGTGAAGGGTAATTTCGTAAAAGGTTTTGCAATTTTTTTAGTGGACAATGTATCTTTTGGTGACCAAAATTTGGTGGTTAATTGTAATACTTTTAGACCTGAATGTGAATCCAAAAAGTTTCGCGACTATTTTTTTAGTGCGAAGTGTCTCTTGATGACCAAAATTTAGTGGTTAATTGTAGTCATTTTAGACGCTAAATGTAGAATCCAAAATGTTTTCGCGACTATTTTATTAGTAGACAAATGTATCTTTTGGTGATCAAAATTTAACGGTTAATTGTAATTATTTTAGACGCTGAATATGAAACCAAAAGGTTTTCGCGACTATTTATTAGTGAATGATGTATTTTTAGTGACCAAATTAGTAAATTCTAATCATTTTGACGTTGAATGTGAAATCCAAAAGTTGTAACGATTATTTTATTAATGGACGAATGTATCTTTTGGTGACCAAAATTTAGTGGTTAATTTAATCACTTTAGAGCTGAATGTAGTCCATGTGATGCGGTATGCTAAATACTTTTGCTACTAAAAAATTAGTTGCAGAATGGTTTTTTTTTTTTTTTTAGAAAAATTGTGACAAAGCATTTCGTATTGACCTAGTTTATACTTAACATCAACAAAATAATAATACAATATAAAAATATGATCACTAACATCAAATATCATATTTTCATATATAATATAGTCCATACATGGTTTTAGCATGATGAGCAATAAAATCCAAAATGACTATACATGTGCATAACAAAAAAAGCATGCACCCCACATTCCCCACTAGCTATCTATCTGTGTATAACTAACAAAAAAATGCCACCCATGTACACCATTAATAGATATATGCAAACAATCCTAAAAAAATGGTTCTACCCCATGTCAAAATATTACTGTCCATACAACAAAAAACTAACCACAATATTGAGCATCCAAGTGTCACCAGGTTGCGGTTTTTGAAATAGCTGTAGCTGATGAGGACGAGTCTTCATCAGTCGGAGATGGCAATGGCTGGCGAGTTGGAGCTTTATCAGATTGTTGTAGTTCAAGGGCTATAGTTAGCTGCTTCATCATCTCCAACAGGACAAATTGTTGTTGTTCAAGACTTTTTGTTTTCCTTTTTGTTGATCAAATAAGATGAGCTGCTCCTCAACTATTTATATTATTTTCTGTTGTTGCACAATGCACCTTAACTCTACTTCTGCTGTAGTACATGATGTCAGGTGTGAAAATGCAAGATTCTGGTTAAATCGGAAGCTTTACCCAGAACTTCCTCACATATTTCGCTTGTTTTTGCACTTTCCTGCCGTGTGTTCATTTGCAGCTGTATCATTTTTCCTACCATCAATCAATGCATAATCAATAAGTAAACAAGAAACTAATAATTACATATAAATTATAATTAATAAGTCAATGCATAATCAATAAGTTAGGTAACCATGATAAATTGCTCAAAACCAATCTGTTGGAGCCATCACGTTAATAATACTAAGAAGATAACTCAAGAAATTACTATTGTAATGCAGAAGAAAACGACCTAAAATATTGTCAGAACGTTTACATGAGATAGTTGACAAATGGCTTAATATTGACATGGAAAAAGCTTTGATACTATTTACTGTGGAAGAAACACCCTTACTTTCAGAGGTTAAATCTCAAATTTTTTTCCACATTTTTACAACTGGGATTATTAGCATTTAAAGAAATAAGCAGAGAAAGAAACATTTACCAGCTTTGTTAGCTGCATGGAAGAGCAGCTCCTCTATTAGGTGCTGTGCAGGATCACATATGGAAACTTCTCCATGAAACTCTCAACATTTGAAACACTTCCTGATTGGTCAGATACTGATATAAGCCATCGGATGAGAGGATCAAAAATTGATCTCTGGGCAGAGTCTATGGTGATGAAGAATGAATGCGTGCAGGAATATGTATGGAGCAGTTCCAATATACTCATTTCGAAACATTTCCAATAATGAATCGTTCAACTTGGGCTGCACCAAGATGCCATGATATCATTGAGCAAGTTTTTAAAACACACCATTGGATAAAACAATACACTGGGAACTTCATCAATTGAAAAAATGAAACATAAGTGTAATGCTCAAGTGTGGTTTTGTAAGAGCAAGAATGCATAAACGAGTGAAACATTAGCAAAATCAGTAACGATATTCTTGTGGTTTGTTAGAGCAAGGACACATATATTGAAACATTAAAAAAATAAGTACAGTAATGATATTCGGTTGGCTCACATGACACAGCATACAACAGAAATTATATTTTTATGCACTGATAAAGGTGAACTGCAACTTGAATCATTTCCAATGCTATATACAGCATTTCCTCTATCACAACACTTTAAAAGATATCCAAAAATAACAACATTTTAATTTATACACTGCATTATATATAACAATAGTAATAATTTATCCTCAGTCAATCATGCAACTAGCACTAAACTTGCTATAACTTTAACTATTTTAATTAAACAAAAACATTTCAGTTAATGCTGATAAGATTAGCTGATAACAATAATAATAATAAAAAGCAAAAATCTATGCTAATTAGTAGTTACATAATGTCTCACCCTTGTCCTCCAATATCTTTTTGAGCTGGTTATTGCAAGATTCACAGCATAGTCTCACCTTCAGATCAATTATACGCTGAACAACAGATTATAAAATCATAGTAAGTCATAAAAATGACATCTAATCAAGGAAGGCTCAGTAAACATGACTAAGACTCACAACTCTGAAACACCATAATTACATCCAGACTCATCAAATGCGTCACATGACAACATGCTGCCAATGCGTTGAAGGTAAAGAGAATGCAACAGAAGAGTCCAATACAACTGAAGTAGAAGCTAAAGCTCCCAAGAAGAGGAAAAAAAGGCACCAAATTGATGTACTCTCTCATCACAATGTAAAAATAACACCTTTTGCCACCTCAACAAAGTATATTTTTGTGCAGCTTAGCTTAAGAGCTAGAATACATATACTTTCTATAGAAGGAATTCACTGATCAAGTGAACCACATAAAAGCAATTAAGTAGAGACCATATTAGTTAAAGGCTTATAATGCACATAAGTTTAGCATAAACAATTCAAATTCGCTACCTCTTGCGTTTTCTCACTCAGCATATCATTCTCATCTTGCGACAGTATTCGATTCTTCAATTTTGTTTCAGTTCCCTTTTTCTCATATCTATCCTCTAGCATCTTAGCCAAAGGAAAATGTAGTTCTAACTTTGTTTCAGTTCCCTTTATACAATGTTAATCAGTTAGCAAAGTTTGCAATACAGCAAATTTGAGCTAATTTATAATTGACTGAGGACAAAACTCTAGCTAATTTATGCTATCTTGATTCTGCTCATACAGCAAATTTAACCCATAAGATACAAGTACTGACAACTTCCCAACAAAAGTTCTTGAATTCACAACACAAACAATGAGAAAGAATGAAAAAGCCAACCTAAATAAACTATTCCAATGGGTACTTTACGGGTTGTGGAAGATTCCTATATGCAACAAGGAAGAAAAAAAAATGAGATTTTGAAGGGATAATATATAAAGATCTGAGCTTTATGAGTAAGAAACTATTTAAACAAAAAACCCATAAACATACAAGCACCTGGGGAAGAAGATTTAGATGGCTGGCATCACCACCGACAGTCTGAAGAGAAAAAACGAAGAAAGATTGAAACTTTAATATCTTATCTTGTTTGAAAGACAAGGGGTGAAAAATGAAAGTTGAAAAAACTTACAAAAGCTGAAAGATCTTAAAGAAATTGGTTTCTAGCTGCAAAAACGAAACAAACCCAGAAAAATGTTAATTGAGGAAGAAGAAACAAGGTATGAAATTGAGATAGGAAAATAAATTAATTGACGAAGAAGAAGAGAACATACAAGAAGAAGCCTTGAAAGAGGCAGAGAATCTATCAGTATAAAGAACAATAGGAGCTATAACCGTAACACATAACATCAGCAACACCAAATTCCTGGTCTTCATTTTGGTTTCAGAAGCAAAGAAGCACTTTTTGGATCTTTCTTCTTGCAGAAATCAGCCTTTGTTGGTTTTAATAGAAATGGAATTTCATCAACAACAACATTATTGTATAATACACACACCAATCTTTAAGATTCATCACCTATTTTTAATCTCTAAAAACTCTCTGCCTTCTTTTTCTGAGTTCAGAAGTAAAGCAGTAGTATTTTGTAATGTTTTATATGTGGTGTGGAAAAATGGAGAAGAAGATGCAAACGGAGTGAAGAAGTGGAGAGTGTTTTGCGTTTTAGGGTAAAATTAGTTTGGGGATTTTGTATAAGTGGGTTTACTATCTTTTTAATTTTAAGTTTCAAAAATTTCTGTGCAAAATTGCTTACTTTTTTTTTTTCTTTTTTTTTTTTTTTTTATGTTACCCTAAAATCGGGTTTGGGGTTTTGTTTTTCTTTAATTGTAAGGATTCAGGGACTTTTCATTTTGTTTACTTTTTAAATTTTAAGGAAAAATTGTTTACTTTTTAATTTATTTTTTTTTAAATTGGAAATTCTGTTTTTTGTATTTTTGTGGACCACAATCGAACGGTTTCCCAAGTAAACGAAAAACTGGTTCAGTTCCCGATTAGGTTCGATTTCTAAATTTTTCTAAACATCGCTACATTTGGGTGTTTGGGATACGCCTCGCCAAAACTCACTGAAGTTAACAATCTCCGTCGAAATAGGCACGGAATAAGCGCCAAAATCAGTGAGCAAGTCGTTGTCTACTGAACGAGAATAGTAGAAACTAAAACTGTTGTTCTAGTGCCAGAAGGAGGTCAACTATGAGAGTTTGTACAAATGAGTGAAATAGCGGTTAAGCAAAAGTTTTAGGGAAAAATGGTAATGTCAGATGAAAGAGAAGACAAAAATAAACTTAAACACCATTTGTTTATTAGTAACAATAAACGAATTTAAAGCATTCATTACAATTATAATAGCCATTGTAATGTCAGATGAAAGAGAAGACAAAAATAAAATCACCCATTACGAAGTTAAAGCCACCCATTTAGGAACGTCACTAACAACAGATGCTTAAACAAATTAAAGCAAATGTTGCGAAGAAACGAATTGAAAATCAAACAATAAAATTGAAATACTATCTATAAAAGAATGAGCTTTGACATAAAAATAAAAATAAAAAGTTACCTTCAATGGGGTAATGTAGGCGGCAAAAGTAGAATAAAAAAGATGGTAAAGTAGCCTCTCATCAATTGAAATTTTATTGAGCAAGTTATTGCCAATTTGCTACTGACTGTTCAGTAGAAACGGAAATATGTGTGATGATAAAATGAATGGTTCGGCAGTAGGTCTACAGTTATCGAAATTTAGCGTATAATACATCAAATTAAAGCTCTATCTGTTTAGTTTCCAAATATGCAAACTTCTCATCCATTGGATTTTCATTGAACAAGTTATGACAAATTTACTACTGACTATTCGGTGAAAACCGAAAAACAGGGAAAACTAAAATGTGTGTGATGATAACAATTAAACATTGTTCAATATATTTTTTGAATAGAAAATAGTAATTTAAATTGTGAATTTTTTTAAAGATACTAACAATGGCTCGACATATTACTATGGTTCTTAATAATGCAAATTGTGCGGCATATTACAATGGTTTAGCAATTTTTTGAATTGGCAATAGTGATTTATATAGACATATTATTTCAATTGAACATTGTTAAGCATATTTTTTGAATTACCAATAGTAATTTAAATGGTGGATTATTTAAAGATAATAACAATGATTCCATCTTTTTTTTAAAGATAAAAAAAGTGGTTCAGCAAATTACAAATGGTTTACTAAAGCTACATGGTTCGACATCAAATATCAGTTTATATTTGTTAAACAAATAAAATTAGTTATATTCAGCAACAACCTCTTTTCATGATATATGTATGTAACATAAAATAATATCAATAAAAAGAGATAAAACAATTACAGTTAAAACTACATATCAATATTTGTTTTCTTTTATCATCACTAAAATTAAATTCGTTTTTATGGCACATATTCTCTCCTGTTCATCATAAAATTGTCAAATGATACAAATACTCGCAGGTCATCATCACTTAATTTTCCTGAAAACAGATGAAAATGAAGATGGAAAGGATGGAGACAATAATTAAAGGACAATTCCACTGAAAAATGAAAATTCTAAACTAAACGAAGAAATATAATTAAATATTACGCAATAACATTATAAAACTATCAACAACAACAACAACAAAAAAAAAGAAAAGAAAAGAAAAAAAAGCACAACTACAATTAAATATCCAACATCACTTGATATTTGTGAAACAAATGAAAATGATTCTCCTTCGCGGGAATCACTAACTTTACAAAACTATTGCTCAACAAATATAATATTTGTTTTTCTTTCCCATCTCTGCATTATGGTACCAATCGTCACATAAATAAATATATATAGTTTTAAAAGTGAATGTAAAAAGTTTGCATTTAATTGATAAATATTTCATATGCCCAACTTTCTAATATCAATATTTTCTCATTAATATCTCTAACCTTTTATATTGATTCCACATAAACAACAACACATAAAACATACAATGTATCAAAAATAAAACTTATCGAACCCTTCATAAATATCTCAAACCCTGCACATTAATATCAAACACATACAATGATAAATCCCTTTACATTCACATAAATTTATTTCTATATAAATGAAAATATTTAATGTGAATGTGAAACATCAATAATTAAAGTTATTAATATGTGTCATTAATAAGCCACATGTAACAAAGAATCCAACTCATCCACATATCTCACATTATAACCAATAACATGCGGTCAAATGTAAAGATACTACATCATCACCAATCAAATGCAGCCACGTGTCGGACAATCTTCCAACATATCAAAATGAAGGAATTCTGCATCTTCAAAATGGTCATCATATAACCTATGCCTCAGGAATATATATATATATATATATATATATTATTTTACTTATCTCTAAATAGAAGGTTAGAAACCTTATCATTTATCTTCAAACTTCCATATAAAGTCTAAAGCTTTCTCATTCTAGAGGATAAAACCTTCATTCACCGATCTTTAAAGGATTCTTAGCATTCAAATAACATTTTTGCAGCTACTGTTCCAAAGTGAAAGAGAAACCGAGAGATTTGATTCAAAACCCTAGCCATTTTCACTATTTCTCCATCAAATCTGAACACTCAAACACTACATCCATCATTCCCAAACACCACCATACAAATCACATTAACATACGCATCTCAAATCTTTTTTTTTTTTTTTTTTTCCGCAAACATCGAAATCCAATCACTCTCTGAGTTTTCCTTTGCTACTCTCTTATATCTTTTGGGAGATCATTCCTTATGTTTACATACAAATCCTTTGGGTAGACTTTCCAGGTCATAATACATCTTTTTATGCACAAAATTAGAGTCAAAAGACAAAATCTCATAAACCCTATAGATTTCCTGTAAGTTGTCTAATACGATATACCTGAGACCAAAACACTATTTTCCTTAAATTTCCTGCATTTTCAAAATCTGGCTTTTCTATTAAATTCTTTGGCTTCAATTTCATTATTCTGACCACTTGGAGCATTTTCAAAACATGCATGTTTTCACTAACTAGTTGGATGCTTGGCTCTTACACCTTGTTAGAAATTGGAGGAGTAAAAATAAAATAAAGAACAACAATATGCGAAGAATATCACACACATAAACTCAACATTTACGTGGTTCGACATAACTCGCCTATATCCATGGATGAGAGAATTTCACTATAATTTCATGAATACGATATACAAGAGTGTATAACACCATCAACTTAGTACATAAGATGGGAACAATCCTAATTTCTAGGACACTCTACCGTATGGTGCTTAATAACCCTTACATCAAAACTCTTATGTTCTCACATTCTTTTTCTCATTCTCTCATAATTATGAATTGGCTCATACCCATATATTTATAGAGGTAGTATATGGGAAATTCAATTTCTAATAGGATTCATGTTTCTATTCCTAATAGAACTCCCATATTTTAATTTCATTATCCTACTTTAACTCAAAGTAAAGTCATAAACCAATTCTACTTTACTAATTCAACTCACAATAGGAAAAGGAAAAACAAATATCTCAAGCTCAAACTCCTAAAATAGGAATTTTCCTAAAACTCAAACTTAACAATTTGAAGTTAAACAAAAAACATAACTCTTTAATTTTCCCAATTGTAATTGCGTCTTTTCTTCTTCAGCAACATCTTCATCAATTACCAAAAAATGTTCACATTCCCCTAGTTAGTAAATACGGATACGGCAAAAAACGATATAGGAATTTCACGAGTACAATATGGCAAATGATGAAAAATACATTTGTAAAAATTTGGTTATAAAATTCGAATACAGAAAAAATACAGTACGGATATACGGGTTTAATACGGCACATTGTCAATAATACATTTTAAAAAATACAGCAATAGAAATCTTGGTTTTAACACTTTTAAAAACATCCTAATCTAAATAATCCATTGTCGTCGACCCTACAATTTATTTTCCTTTTTATTTAAAGTATACTTTGAACAATAACTAAGACTAGTATTTTTATCCGTAATTTTACAACTACACATACAAAATTTGGTTTCCAATGAGTATAGCTGTTTTATTTTCTGAATTTTATGTTTTGAATTTAATTGGACAGTGCATTCAAAGGTCAAATAATAATAGTGTTATGAAATCTAAAAACATGACAGAGTGCACATGGGTTTACAATTTCCAGTTGGCGTTGGACCCATCAGAGACAAATTAATCAGAGGTTGCAAGCTGATGGTTTGTTGTGTTTTTCTTCTTCTTTTAAGTGTCTGCCAATTCCAAATCCAAGCCCGACAATATTATTTTTATGAATTCATGCTTTTGTTTTGTAGTTTTGCCTTTACCTTTTGCTTTCATAAATGATCTTTAGTCTTTTCATTTTTGACCCATACAATACAAAACAACAGAAGTAAATGGAATATTATGTTAAAACAGACACCAAATATATCTCTCACAAGCATTTCATCAAACATGTTTCAAACAAATCTATCAATCCATCAATCCACTAACCCTTCTACTACTATTCACACACTAGCACAAACACAAGCAAATTACTAACATACGAGATTCAAAGAGAGTTAAAAAGAGAAGAGAAGTGTGTAGCTTGAGGCTTGAAGAGTTTAAGTCTTGGACTTAAAGCTTGGAGAAGAGAGTTAAAAAGAGAAGAGAAGAAGAGATCAAGACTCAAAGAGTCAAGAGATGAAGAAAAGAGAGTTAAAGAGATGAAGATATTTGATAGTTGAAGATTTGAAGAAGAGATGAAGACTGTCGAAGAGAGAACTGAGGAAGAGGAGAAGGAGATTTCCTTTAATTTTAGTCAAACCCCACCAAAACGACGTCGTTTTGCTTTATCATTTAATGATTTTTTTGCCTGCAAAAATTCGGCCCTAATTCGCGAATTATACAGATAGGGCATATAATTCATGAATTATACAACAGTCTTGATAAAATACATGAATTCTCATATAAAACGCGAATTTACTAACTAGGCACATTCCAACACACCTTTTCTCCATAAAATTTGCCCTTGGTCTTCCTTGTTTGACTTATTGATGACAAAACTACAACGGTAAGCTCCTTGAAGTGGACTCATGTAAGGAGGTCATGGGTTGGCTCAACGTTATTTAGAAAGCGTTGTCAAAGTCCAAGAAAAAGAGGTGTAACGATCCACCATTAGGCCTAAGCCAATAGTGGATCCTTATCACATTGTAATCCATATTTCGCTGTATTTTATTATCTTTTGTTAACCTTTCATAAATACAAAAAAGCTACCAACAACCTTTAAATAAGCTCTGTTGGCCAGTAGATAAGCCCAACCAAATTAGAAGACCAAAGTGAACTATGAGATAACCAAGTATGAGTTATCCATCGGAGTTATCCTATAGGTCCTAGGCTTATGTTCAAACTCTATTTAAAATTGGTAGGTCTAGAGACAAAGGATTTTTTTTTTTTCTTTTCAGAAAAGGTCATTAATGGTATTGAATATATAGGAGTCAACAATTTCCCAATGGGTTATGGAGAGACTTGCCTATGTGTCTAACCCATCGGTAGCTTACATGTGTATTGAAGAATTCTTTATATCCGTCGACCACTATGTGTGGGTTTCACGTTGTCATTGATAGAATATGAAAATAAAGTTACCATATGCACAATAATGTCACATTCGAAATCATGTGTGGGGTTTTGCGTTGTCACTGATGACTAATAGTTTAAGTTTTTAACCCAATGGTAAGTGCTTGATTTTGATTAGTGGTATCTTGGTCACAAGTTCAGCTCCCTATTTTAGTCCTTTGGGGATAAGAAAAATTAACGGCTTTTTGAATCCTTTAAGGATGGATTAATGGTACTTAGAACCTTGATGATTTTTTGTCATACCACCCAATTTGGGTTGATTAATGGTGGGTGGAACCCTCGAACCTTGATGGTTTTTCATACAAAAGGTATGAGAGTAGATTTAGAATATCAAGGTTTTTCATTCAAAAGGTATGATAGTAGATTCAGAATAGATTATAGGGATGGATTAACGGTAGGTGGAACCTTGATGGTTTTTCTTTCATACCACGTAATTTGGATGGATTAACTGTGGGTGGAACCATCGAACCTTGATGGTTTTTCATGCAAAAGGTATAAAGTAGACTTAGAATACATTCCTCTAACCTAATTTGGATGGATTAACGGTGGGTGGAACCATTGAACCTTGATGCTTTTCCATACCAAAGGTGTGAGAGTAGATTCAGCAAACCTAATTTGGATGGATAAACAATAGATTCAGAGTAATTTCATCAAACCTAATTGGAACCTTGATGGTTTTTCATACCAAAGGTATGAGAGCAGATTCAAAATAGATTCATCAAACCTAAGGTGGTAATAGTAGTTTAGAATCATAACAAAGTTTAACATTTGGTTAACATATTTAAACTTTTCTTTTTTCTGTTGTTTTTATTACTTTCCAGAACTTTAGGATGTGTTTGACCCAAACCTTGAGGGTGGAATTGTTATTATCCCTACTAACTCCACATTTAACTAATCCATGTTTATCGACTAGGGTGTTCGGTTCCAGGTACCCTGCAATTTTTTGAAGGAATCGGAACCGGAATCGACGGGTCCTTGAAATTGGAATCGAAACGGAACCTACGGTTCCGGTTTCCTAGGTACCCAGAACCAGAACCTGTAACAGTGATTCTGTTTCTGTTTCTGGGTACCCTATAAAATTATAATTACCCCCCAAAAGTTTTTAAAATGGAAAAAAAAAAAACCCTTAAAACTTACAAATGCCCCTCTGGCACTTTTTTACAAAAATAAAATTACAAACTCCTTTACTTTGTAAAGGTAAACTCTCAAAAGTCAAATCAACTTACTTTAAATGTTATGAAATATAAATATAAATATATTCACATTACTTTTTCTACAAAAGTTTTTATTAACCACCATATTCTTTAATTTTATTTTATATTAGTCTCGGTTCTCGGTTCCGATTCCAGTTCCTAACTATGGGAACCGAAACCGAAACCGCACAGTAATGATTCCAAAAATTTGGAACCAAAACCTACCTGTTGACGATCGGTTCCAGATAAGAACCGTAACCAAACCCTAGATATCCATCGGTTTTGGTTCCAATCGGTTTTGGTTCCAATCGGTTCTTTTGAACACCCTTACTATCGACGATCTATAATATATTTCTCTTCCTACTACTTCTGAAAACATGTATGCGTGGTGCCGTCTCACTTAATCAAAGCATGTTGACTCTTGGCTGATTCACATATACCCGCCCTAACTATCACGAAACTTTAGTGTCCGTTAATGAAATCTAGTGCCTGACCTAGTAGCAAACGGGTGGAAACAAGGCGGGTGGATATTGGGGGTGTTAATGTCATTTCCCGATTGTTAAATCAACCTTGACCCTTTTTAACAACAGGGCTTTCTAACGGCAGCGCCTGAAACGAAGAGAAGTAAAGAAAAGAAAGGACTTCCACTTCCTGTGATGGGGATGAGTAAGAGAGATAAGAAAAGCTCCTTTACTTCGCCTCGTGCTCATCTCAGAACTGCTTACCACAACTGCTTTAACCGGTCACACTCACATACTTCTTCTTTCTTTCATTTCTACATGGTGTTTTTTTTTTTTGTTTGTTTTTTTTTTTTAACTGATATATTGTGTTTGTGTGCAGCTGGTACTCTGAGAAGTTTGTGAAAGGCATGTGGGACAAAGAAGAATGTGTTTCTGAGTGGCAAAAGTATAGAGCTTGCCTATCTGTATGTTCCCTTTTAACTTGATTCATTTGGAATCTTATTCAGCAATTGGATCTTTTGTTGCTGGTTGCCAAATGCTATGATTTTTTTTTTCTTTTGGGTGAAGAATTGTGATGAATTTTGTCTTTTTTATGATTTACTTTGAAAGGAACATTTGGATGATAAACATCTGAGTCGGTTCTTGGAAGCAGAAGGCATTGTCGATTCAGCCACTCAAGCTGTGAAAAACCCTGTTGACGGAGTTTCTCAGTGATATTTCTTCCATCTTCATTTAACTAAATACAAGGTGAATGTCACTATTTTAAGTTTCTTTGTTGGATTGTTGCTTTGGTAGTTGTATAATGTTTCAAGTTATTATGAATTTATTTGTCATATCAAATTTGATCAATTTGGGTGTGCAAAAACTTTTACATCTGTTTCTATTCAAAATGTTTCATTTTCATGTACTTGATAAAGTCTGACTGTCTGAGTGAGAGGGTTTAAAGGATATTAAGGTATGGTTATAAAGATTTGAAGGAATCAGCTTTAGATTTATTAGAGAATATCTATCTGTTTTTTTTAATAGGGTGATTACATCAATTGAGGCCAGTCATAGTGGTTAATGCATGCACAAGATGAGTTATGATGACAACATTAACGTGAAATTGCATAGTTTATTTGACTCGGTATTTATTATGACGTTCTGGTTTATGTGCAAAACTTTAAGCCTTTCGTTACAATATATACCAAAGAAATGCAGTTTCAAATCTTCAACCTGCATTAAACACTGGGATTAAATAAGCTATGCATTGCCATTCACTATTGCTTGGCAAAAATTATATGTTTTTTTCCTCAAATATGTCAAGGAACTGCCTTGAGAAATTTCAATCTATACTAGAATGCATTTTGCCAATTCCATATTGTAATCTGTTGTTAACCATCTTTAGCCTTCTTTATGTGTGGCCACAAAACTTATCATTGTGTATTATGGCTGGTGTTTAGGGGAGGTGCTTTACATGAAGAAGGTTGATGCATTGCTCAAGTAAAAATTGTAAAACTATAATCTGCCAGATTGGAGGGCCCAGATATGGGCCCTTAGATTTAATACATGTAGATCTAAGTGCAGGCTATACATCAAAGGGATTTCTTGCTTGGCGTGTTTCAGATGATTTTAGCACTTTGTTAAGACTAGCAGTGGCAATTGTAACTGCTTTAGAATCTAGATTTTAGTTTCAATATCAATAGGTGTCAATTTGGGGCTCCATCTTTGCAGAGTAAACCTTATCTTCTTCTATGTGAGTTTCTTTATCTGTTAGGTTTACTAGCATGACAAATGCACAAGTACTTATGGTTTGTGCTAAAAAATGCATATCTACATTCTGCAATTTTCCATTGTAGCTGGCCCTTGAACAGTGTTTCTACTTGACTTGCATACTGCCAATGCAATTATCAATAAGATAGTTTTTGTTAGTGGTATTATTTATATTAAATGACATAACTGGTATCTGTTCACCTGAAAGTATTACCATACACTGGAATTCCAGGATCTGAATTATATCTTTCATGCATTCCCCAGTGCAGTTTTTCATTATTTAAGGGATGAATTTGCCTACATGAGTGGTTATTGGATCAGCAATTCTGATGTATCCACACCTATTAACCATGTCAACTAATATGTATGTAAAAACTTTATTTACTAGGATAAAAATTCAGCTTCTAACTTGCATTCTTTACTAGGTATTGGGGAGTTGATTTTCTTTGACTGGTTGTTTACTAAAGTCGACTAATAATAACAATTCCATTTTTCTTAAGGCAATCAACCTTTTTAATCGTTCAAAGCTGATTGCGAATAGGAAGACTGGCTGCAGACTGTCACCATATGTATACTCACATTCTCACAAGTGCAAGATCGCTGACTCTATTTCATTGTGAATGATGCAAATTGTATCATTTCAAGAACTTGTACTATTGCTATTATAGATGCAAAGGAAAGTTGAGGCTGAATCACTCGTGTTATTTGCATCTGGGTTCTTATGTGCAAATTCCATTGTAGTGTTGGGCGTGAGAAGTTTTATTTGATAGTCTTTGTGAAGGTCATGCTTGCCGTAAGTTTTGACAAACTAAATCATTTCATATTTGATTTCTTGATTTATTTTTTTCTTGAAGTGTAATAACCGGTGATGAATCATACAATTTGGAAAACAATAAAAGTTTATTCTTTTATGTCAAGAATAAGTTATGCTACCATAGCAGGCTCTTACAGAAGAGAAAATAAAATCTCCATCCTCGAAAGGCTAGCGTCATTTTCTGAAATGAAAGTTCTGCAGTCATATAATTTCCGGTTTTACTACAATCACAATGTTGGGCAACCTCGTTCAAGAACGTGGACATGCCCTTTCGCTTCTTTATTATCTTTCCCAGCGGAAAGAACTAACAAATTCATTTCTTTTTGAATAAGAAATGTGCAACCATCCATTCTTCTCCATCGTTGTATCCGAAGAGTTCTGCAACAGCAATAAAGAATGTTCTCCAATAAACAGTCCACTTGACTGCCTGATCCTTGCCATAAGTTGACTCCATTATTGGCTTAATGGAGGCCAAGTTCTGGTCCATTCTTTTGAGCCACTCCTCACTGGAAGAAAGATTTCGGGGGTCATCTCAAATTCTAAGAAGTTCCAAATACTATTAATATGACAAAACAATCCATAACCTACCTTGTTTGCGCATAATGCTTCCCGTTCACAAGCCAGTGATCAGCAATAGAAACATCATCCTACAGATAATACCATTAATAAGATACAGATAGAAAAGAAAATATCATAAGTTGGGAAAGAATAGTACAAAAACTAACCTAGAAATAAAGAAGCAGATTAGCTGAAGGCATTGTACCTCCAGTGAAGAAGTACCTAGTGATCCAGTCATCATCACTTGTTTCCTATGTTAGGAAAAAGGGCAGAACAAGAAATAATTAACATGGCTAAGAGCCTGATAATAATATGATTGCTCAAAACATTAATTATTTACTAAACAGATAGGATGTGATGTGAATCAAGCGTGTCATTCAAGAGCATCAAGTCAAGAAGTACCTCAAAGTGGTAGGCAAATACTTTGTGGCAGAAATAATAAACAAAAAGAAGGCTATCCTGTTTCATCCACTTGGATATCTTCTTGAGAAGATCATGATAGTTCTTCATATGCTGTAAAAGTACAATATAATTAATCCTTATAACATAATAAAAATTTCGAAACAACAATATTTCTGAAAGTTTAAGCTGACATGTAAGAATACAACAGAATTATTAAAGTTTGAACATGCCTCCTCATGTCTAAGCTGGATTTAATGAACAGACTTGTCACATGGATCTAACACAAACTGAATTTGCTTCTGTGTTGTAATGTAATTAATAATATCTATAGTCTAATTTCAGAATTCAAACACAAGGTTTCTTGGTTAAAAATGATTTAATACTATTTTAAAGCTTCAATCGAAAAACTTGAGCTAAAAACAAGGGCCAGTAATAACATCTAAGCTCTATCGATAATGAATGTGTAGGCAGAAACTATATCATGACATGAGAAGGATTGACCTCAAACATTTCAATAGAGTATATACGATCATAGGAGGCATCCATTTCGAATGTGCTAATATCTGCAACAATGATCTCCACATTTTGGAGCTGAAGATTTCTGCAAAAAAGGTTAAAAAGTAATAGTTTAAATACTATTTGCATTGTTTAGTTTGGGAACTATTAGAGAATATAATTAATATGTCGATTGGCCGACATTTTGAGGCACAAATTAGCATCCTCAAATGCAAATTCTAAGCCATATGGTAATTTATCAATTCGCATACCGGCATTGCTCATCAATATGTTCTTTCTGTGTTCTTGAATTGCATATCCCTGTAATCTTGCAATTATTGTACTTTTGAGCAATGTATAGAGCCAGTGACCCCCATCCACAACCAACATCAAGAACAGTGTGACCGTCTTTCAGTTGTGACCTCTCACAGTACAGCTCCAACATAGCATTCTCAGCATCCTCTAAGGTGTTTGACTTATCAGAGAAGTAACAACAGCTGGACTTGTGCATAGATGAACCAATCAGCTCAAAAAAACAATAAAGCAAAGTAGTTCCAACGCTTCCATTATCATCAAAACTAATAAAAATCAACCGTTTATTTTCACTTCCTTTAAAGTTCTTATATCAAACAAAAATCATAGCATACATTTTAAGCAGACACCATTGAAAAGGCAATTGTGTTCTTTAGATTCAAATGATAGTATCAGCTTCTTTCAGAAGTTAATATAAATTGGATTGCACAAGCTGCTACTAGATAATACTTCTATATTCAGTGATTACAGAATAGACAATAAAATTTGCTGGGACTGAATATCTGATGTATGGGAATACCTGTATTTGAAATTTTTTCCAAGAACCAACTTGAAGAAAGAGGTCGGTAGTTCATAATGCTGGGCTTTTGGCTTATCAGTCCTGATGGCTATAGGCATCTCTCTTAAAGCTGGAACAGAATTACAACTCAACAACATTAGAGATAATATAAAAGACTTATCCTATGAAACCGAGCAATCTTGATATTAGTATATTATGAATAATTGACGACAATGACCTCATTCGTTCACTCTTATACAAAAATATACATGAAGATATGGTAGAAATTTTTATGGTTAATCTTACAAGTTTATAGATTATAAATGAAGAGCATCCAGTTGAGCATAAACCATATCTATCACATTTGAAGCTGTGACAACACAAATCTTGCAATATAGGTATGATAAACTTGAAATTGAGCTGAAAATTTTAAGATTTACCTTACAAACTGACAAAGTGATAATGGCTTTTAGGGATTGTCGACTAATTTCAGAGAAATCATAAAATATTATGCTTAACTCTACAGAATTTTCAGTCTTAAAAATTTATTTATGCGACAACCAATACTGGTGCACAAACTTTCACATTATCTTCTCATCCAATTACATGACGAGAAATCAAATGCACATGGCCATGAATAAGATTTTAAAATATAATCATTTTTGCCTTATCCAAACTTCGACATACTAATTTCTTAATTATTATAAAAACAAGAGCAAGATCCATCCAGATGTAGAAGTGAAAGTGGAGAAAGTAGAGTACAATGTACGAACTGCAGGAGTTCAGAGAGTTGTAATTCAGAGGAAGCTTTGTAACCGGAACGAAGACGGTTGGCCAACAGCAAGCGACTTAGTCTCCTAATAACGGCGTCAGGTAGTAAATTGCGCTCGAGTGAAGCTAACATGAACCGCACCGTTGCATCGTACGGTAACTGCATTATCCCCTCCATTGACGTTCGTTTGGTGTTCAGATAAAATATTTGATTGATGAGAGGCTTAAATGATTGTTATAGGTGAAACGCCTGAGCTTCGGGAATCTACCTCATCCACTCCATGGACTAAAAGTTATCCTGTCAGCGACAAATTGACTGTAATTTTTTAATTTCAAATGACGTTTTATAACTTGAAAGATTATGAAAAGATGAAGACGATGATGTATTTAAAACTTCAAAAAATTGAAGAGATAAATATTATTTTTTTAATTTATTTAAAAATCGATAAATTAATAAATTATAATTAGGTTTTGGTTTAGATATAGGGAAATTTACTTAGTTGACCCCCTTTAAAATGCCAAATTAAAAAATAACCAACTTCTAAATAGCTTTCTGACTAGACCTTTCATAAGAATTTTGAACACTTCTACCCTCATCTTTTACACTTAATCACATGAATACCATTGCTTCCATGAAAATGAAAGAAGCCTTTAATTTAATATTAAAATGTAGAATATTGTTGATGCGTGATTTTGACACCAACTAATCGACACGTGTGCAACGTTGGTTGGCCAAGAGACACACGTGAGTATGGATAAAGTGCGTAGTAAATGTAGTAGTGAGAGATTTTTAAAGTGGTTCGGATGCTAAAGTAGCAAGTCCTACGTCCACTGATAGTTGTATTAATATTGTGGGTCAGGTCGCAACAGCAGACCAGCTTACAAATTATTAGTGAAAAGTAAATGCCAAGATACAAGAGAGAGAAGGATAGCTAATTTAGAGTGTAAAATGGCCGAATCCCCCCCAATGAAGGGGTCTTCTCCTTTTTATAGTGAGATGAGTGCAAGTAATCATCATTAAATCCATGGGTTGGTGTGAATGTCAGGACGAAATCCGGCTTTATGTCACATTGCCCACCTTCCAAACTGATTTCACGCGATTTGGGGCAGGAAATGGACACGTGGGATCTCCACAGCGTCTGGCAGGTCTGGCGCGCGCTTACCGTTCTGACAGGAGCAGGTCACACTCCATCGCGTGATTTCCCACGTCAGCCCTTGATTTCCCAGGCATAACAGAAGTCTCCTAGTTTTTAAGGTTTGAGGATCGAACCTTGGAAACTAAGCCATGCCGCGATTGGAGGTTTTCTGGAAGTTCTGACAATTCCGACCTGAATGAAAGAAGCACGGGATAGGGCCTTTTGCGAACACGACCTCGCACGAACCTCGTCCAAACGACCTGACAGCCATCGCTCAAACGACCTGACGGCCCTCGCCTAAGCGACCTGACAGCCATCACCCAAGCGACCTGACTTCATCAGGTGTTCCTTGCCGTACCTTAGGGATGGAGATTTAATGAAGCAATTTTTGCATTGACAGGTGCTCTGCGCGTGTTAAGCGTCTGCCAGGCACATTAAATGCGTTGTGTGCTGACGCATCATTGCTTTGACAGAGCATTAATTGCATGACACGCTCGAAACGATAACTCTTATCACAGCATTAAATGCGGCGTGGGGCGCAATTAATGCGGAGAGAGAGAAAGGCATCGTTTTGATTCCGAGGGGTGGTAAACGCCAGTGCATAGCCCATATAAAAGCCCAAATTTCTCAGACGATGCCACCAGAATCTCTTTTGCCTCGAGCGAAAAATCTTTGCAAACCGGAAGCTTTTCTTTTCCGATTGGCATCTCTCTGATACCCGAAGCAAGAACCGTCCACGGTCACGTGCCCTAAAAAGGTAGGGATTTTTTTTTTTTTTTTTTTTTTTTTTTTTTTTGCTTTCATGGTTTGGTGGGGCAATGACGTTGGGTTTCTGATATTTCATCAGAGACGTGACGCTAGAGTAGGGTTCGAGTCGTGAATGGCGGCTCGAGTCACTGTTAGGGTTTAGGGAATTGTGTTCCATGCTGTCGTACGGGGCAACGTACAATGGCTAAAATGACCTTCTGTCGCTGTTGCAGATGCGGAATGGAACCCTCAACGTCCAGATGAGGAAGAGCCGGCTCGTCTTCGCGGGATGTTGCCGCGGAGCATCCCTTGAGGTCTTCTAGGTTCTCACCCGAGAGGAGTCGAGAGGGTGAAGAGACAATCGAATCCGCACGGAGGTGTTCCTCGACCACCCGATCGTCGCGGCATCTTCTGATGGTTAGCTGCGATCTCCGAAGAGATCTTCAAGGGTGGGGGGATGTTCCTTTCCACCCTTATAGGTCGGTCCTGATCACTTCGAGATCACACCAATGCGTAATGCTAAATGCGTATGTCATCGCCGTTGCGATGACATGCGTGCCGCGAGAGCGGCTTGGGCGAGCTAATAGCGGTGGAGCTCGGCTGCACGTATTTCCTCAAAAGGAGTAAGGACAAGGACTCCTATTACTTTGTCCCGGCGACCTACCATTGCCGCATGGATACATAGCTATCCCAGCAACGCGGGGGCTAGAGACGAAGTTTTCTTTTTCTGTTACGACGGCTACTGCCGCTTTCAGGATCCAAGTAGGTTCTCTTCGCTAGATTCATTAACTTCGCGTTTCTTTTCAAAACGACCTGCATTCTTTTGCAGTTAACAAGTTGACCAGCCTGAACCTACCACACCCTGACAGGATCGTGTCTTTTGGGGTCTCCCCGAAGAAAGTTGGGACCGCAGAAGCTTGTGACGACCGCGAACTTGCGAAAGTATGATTTTTTCAGCAATAACGCGTCTCCAGAGTGAAGTTGGGCCGACTGATTCCTTTCTAGTCGTAGAATAATTTTTGTTTAGTTACTACAGTATTGCAGCAGCGACCATGCCTTAGAAAGAGTTCGAGTAGCCCTGGCGAGTGTCATTAATCCCTCGATCGAGGAGGGTCAGGGCGGCCGAAGCTGCTCGCCCTATAGTGGCACAACTGGTGCAAACTGCGTGCCTTCCGAGCCCCATCCTGAGGAAGAAACGACTAGGACAGAACAGGTCACTCATCCATCGCCTGCTTGCCCGAGGCGGAAGACAATGGCTCAACGGTTGAAGAAGAGGAAGCAGATTCAAGTCAACGAGTCAGAGACCGAATCTGAGACTGATCAACCCTAAGGTCGCGGCTGGATGCCAGAAAGAGGTCGGGTAAGGAACCGCAGATGAGACGGTTACTGCCGATTAGGCGAAGGACACACCAATGCTAGACGCGTGGGGGACCTGCCCGAATACCTGCAGCCGGTAGTCTACTCTCTACTTGAGTGTGGACTATCGGATCATATGATGAGTTCGCCGATTCGGGCGATGTGACCTGATGACCACGTGGTTCAACATCCAAGCAAGGTGAACGAACTGTTCTTGAAGAGTTTGTCCGCCATTTTTATTTTAACTCATTTCTTGTTCGCAGGCTTTGCTCGCCATGAGAATGTCCCCGGAGAAGGCTCAGCTGGAGGCCGTGAAGGGGGAAAATGATTTGAAGAGGAGATTGCGAAGCTCAAACAGAGTCTGGAGGACGTCGAAGGGAAAGAGCGTTGTTCGCTGAGGTAGCAAATAGATACTTGAACCAAAAGACGGCCGCTATGCGTACAGTGGACTTCCAAAAGACGAAGCTTGAGCGACGCGCGGAGGAAGTAAAGAGCTTCAGAGGACAACCGCTAGACTCTCCAAGGAGGTCGGAGAGAAGGACCAAGAGCTCCAGAGGACCTTAATGTGGGCTCAATGAGCAGAAAAAGAAACGGAGGCCTCTGAAAAGAGAAGGCAGCTCTGAGAGCTCAGGAGAGTCAGGGAGAGGTTGCTTCTCTGATCAAAGAAATGCAGAGCCAGTCGAGGAGGTCGAGGAAGACCGTCGATTGGGTGATCGGTCCATCTATGCCCTACGACCAAAGACCAAATTTGGATATGTCCGACCTCCTGGAAGAGTGGTAGGAAGCCTGCAGACTTTGGCGATGGAAGATGATAAAGCAGCGCCGCCCGAGGATCTGACCAGACAGAGGTTCGGGTTCTGCCTTGAAGAAACCCCCGACTGACCATGCTCGTACGATGAGGCCGACCCAATAGGGTCAATGGGTCAACAGTTTTTTAGTACATAAATGAAATACATTTTGTTTTCAATTGCTATTCGCTTAATCATACATGAGTGCAGTTTACAATTAGTTTATACATAGGCAATATTACATGCGAACTGTTACAAGCGAACAAAATATATTTACAAGGAAAAGGAAACTTTAACAAAAATCAAGAGCTAATTTACAATGAGAGCTGAGTTCGGGATTACTGATAGTATGGCCGGAGGTGCTGGCATTCCAAGCTCAGGGTACTTTGGAGCCGTTCAGCCTTTTGAGATGGTAAGTCCCTGGTCGATCACCGTCGACCCGGTACAGACCTTCCTGTTCGGTCTTAGTACCCCCGTTCTTGGCTCCCTGATTCCAAGGAGAACTTCTTTTAGCACAAGTTCACGACCTAGAAGTCTTTCGCTGACCTTTGAATCGAAGAACCTCTCGCGCGTTGCTGGTAGGCTGGATCCTTAGCGAAGCCTTGCTGCGGTGTTCTTCAACAAGATCTAGACTCGCTCTCATAAGTGCTTCGTTTTCAACCTCATGTACAAGTCCTCCAAAGAGAAGCAGTTCTACCTACACAGAATCATTGCTTGCAGCCGTATGCTAGCGAAAAGGGCGTTTCTAAGGTGGAAGTTCTCAGAGTGTCTGTATGCCCATAGGACTTCGAGGAGATCGTCGGCCTATTCCCTTGGTTGCCCCAAGTGGTGGCTTTAGAGTGTGCTTGATGGTCTTGTTGACAGCTTCAACTTGGCCATTTGTTGCAGTCTTGCGACTGAGGCAAATTTTTTATGGATGCCAGCTCGTGCAGAACTGCTTGAACTCCCGTTGTTGAATTGCTTTCCATTATCCGAGATGAGGGTGTGAGGAATTCGTAGCAGCACTATATTCTTGAAAACGAAGTTTTCAGCTTTCTAGTCATGATCGCGGCCGGCAGTTTAGCTTCCACCCATTTTGTGAAATAGTCTACCGCGACCACGACATACTTGACTCCCCATTTTCCGACTGGCATGGGACTGATAAGGTTGATCCCACATGAAAATGGCCAGGGGCTAGTCATCGTTATCAGCTCGTGAGAGGGGGCTTGCAGAATGTCGCGAACCGCTGAACTTGTACACCTCTTGACAAATGCTGGTATCTTCTTGGATCCGGGCCAATAATATCCGATGAACAACCTGTTCGGGAGAGATCGTGTGGCAGTGT